CGAAACCCGCGGCCACTTCTGCGTCATCCAAACTCGAGTCGCTCTGGGTTCAGGTGCAAGTGGGGCGTAATAGAAACATTCTAATCTGTTCCCTGTACCGGCCGCCGTCCGGCACCGGAGCCCAGCTGACTGCCGATCTTGATGATTTTGACGCCCAGATCGAACACTTTCTATCGCGCCATCGCGGATCTGTGATTTTGGCTGGTGACATGAACTGTGATATGCGGCACGTGCAAGCTGGCACCAATGGTGCGCAGCTGTCCCGGCTGATAGAAAAGTACGACCTTAAGCAAGTCATCTCGTCTGCTACATTTCCCAGATCTGGGTCTATCCTCGACGTGGTTATTACTAACAGAGGAACCGCTGTAACTCGCCACGGTGTCAAGCACTGTGATTTCAGTCCGCACATGTTTACTCGCGCGTTGTTTCAGTACAGCAGATGTCGCCCTGCTCCAATGTCTACGAGTGGGCGTAGCTGGCGACAGATTGACTACGATGCCCTGAGGACCGATCTGTGTGCGGTCGATTGGTCACCCGTGTTTGACACTGACGATGTCGCTCGTCAGCATGACTATTTCATACATTGTCTACTGCGCACACTCGAGGTCCACGCGCCCCTTCGCCGCTTCAGAATCAGGAACCCGGACGCGCCGCCCGTGTCAGACGGAACCCGGCGTATCATGGCCCGCCGGCGGGCAGCGGGATATGCGCCGTGGGTGCAGGGGCGGTCAGGCCTGGAGGCGCATTGAACGGGCACAACGACGCCCCGAGACGCAGCGGGGCGTCTCGTCTCCCTGACGCCAGGGAGACGAGACGGCGTACCGCGAACTAAACCGCCAGGCGCGTGCGGCGATCCAGCGCGACTCGAGGGAGGACGTCAGACGCCGGATCTCTGAGGCGGGACGATCGGCCATGTTCCGTTGCGTGCGGGGCATTATAAGTGGAAAGGCCGCCGGCCACAAACTACCGGATGTGGCCCCTGACGCCTTGAATGCGTTTTTTACGGAGATCGGTGTAAAAACGGCCCAATCTGTTACTGTTGCGCGTCCCCCCGATTTCCGTGAGCTGCCTGTTCGACTCCCCCGTGTCTCCACCGCTCAGTTCCGTGTGAGACCTGTCACTATGGGAGAGCTGCGTGCTACGGTACTGTGCATGAACGGCAGCGGGGCGTGTGATGCAGACGGGATTACGATGAAGTTTTTGAAATCCTGCTTTGACGCGATAGCACATGTGATCCTTTGCGTAATTAACACTAGTTTGGTCACCAGTACAGTACCTACGCCGTGGAAGCTCTCCGTGATACAGCCCATTTACAAGTCAGTCGGTGCTCTCACCGACCCATCTAGTTTTCGCCCTATTTCACTTGTGCCCTGTCTCTCAAAGATCATAGAACGGCTAGTTCACGAACAGTTGTACTCTTTCTTCGTCAACAACTGCCTTCTTGCTTCCGCCCAACATGGCTTTCGCCGAAACTATTCTACCGAAACGGCACTTATTCAAATTACCGATCGCATCCATCGGGCCATGGATCAGGGTCATATCTGTCTTCTTGTCTTGTTAGACCTGAGTAAATGTTTTGATGTTGTGAATCACGCCAAATTGCTTCAAAAAACTTGAACTTTATGGAGTGAACACTGAGTGGTTCCAAAGTTATCTTTCGGATCATTTTCAATACGTTCGAATGAGCTCGCCACAGAACGAACAGGTGACCTCCAAACCGATGAGAAACCCGATTGGAGTGTACCAAGGTACCTCGCTCGGACCTTTGTTGTACACCGTGTACTCGAACGACATCAGTTTGTACGTAGAGAGCGAGGTGACCATCGTTCAATACGCTGATGATACTCAGCTCCTCGTTACGGGCAGAAAAAGTGACATCGCATCACTGGTTCATCGCATGGAGTGTGCACTAAACACCCTGCATCGCTGGTTTATGCAAAATTCCTTGAAACTGAACTCCAGCAAGACGCAGCTTATAGTTTTGGGTACGCGCCAAATGTTACGAGGTGTTCCGCCTGTTACCCTTACCGTGAGCGGCAGTACCATCCACGAGAGTGATCGCGTCAAAAACTTGGGCGTGGTGATGGACCGCACGCTGTCTTACGAGTACCATATAGATCAGCTTGTCGGACGATGCACTGGTCTTCTTATAGGTCTTAGTCATGCCAGATATAGACTACCGAAAGAGACTCTCATCACTATTGTCAACGCATTGGTTCTGTCAACCGTGAGATATTGTATCAGTGTCTATGGTACTGCGGTCGCCAAAAACATGTCTCGTGTTCAAAAGGTGATTAACTTCGGTGCACGAGTTATCACGGGGCGGCGCAAGCATGACCGCGTGAGTGACGCACTTAGAACTCTCACCTGGCTCCCGGCTCGTGAACTGGTCACTTACCACACTCTGTGCCTACTCAAGCGCATGTTGGTGACCGGCGCTCCTCAGGATATCGCCGAGCAGCTCTCCACAGTAGGAGAGGGGAGAGAGCGCAACACACGGCAGGACGCAGACCTCGCTCTTCCACGGATAAGATCCGAGTCCGGCCGAAGGAGATTTTTGTACCGTGCTGTGTCGGCTTTCAATGCCCTGCCTCTCGCTGTCAGGGAGCAACCACCGGGCGCTTTTAAAAGGAATGTGAAACGGCGTCTGGGCCAATTTTAGAAAGTATGCGTGCTTGTGGGCTATGTATTTTTTTTATGTGTGCTTGATTGCGTCACCATCCCCTTGTATTTACTTTTTCACCTCCTATGACACGAACTCAAGAATAGCCATGTTGTATGGATGAGTTCTTAAGTGTTCAATAAACAATAAACAATAAACAATAATCGTGTTTTGGTTTTTGCGGAATATAGAACTGTGTCACTTCCTTTTATCGATTCAATGCGTGCTCTGGCTATTTAGTTGACAAGACACGAAACTCGTATAAGTTATGTTCGAGTAAGTACGGTATTTTTATCCACACACTTTCAGATAAGCACAAACAAGATGATGCAATCCCTAAGTTTGTTAGATATTTACCAATAAACACTACAGGTTATGGTCCAAAGCATCGCTCGTTCTTTACCATAGTTAGCGCCGTCCCTGCTTGTTGTCACCCCTCCCTGCGGGGTCCTTGGAGACTGGCTGGGAGTCTGTATAAGGTGCGTCTGGCCGCGCCACCACCGTCACTGCGGCGCAGGTGGGGCGCCACTCGGTCACGGATAATGGCACTCGAGATTCACGACTCGTGAGTCGCCTTACGACTCTGAGTTCGTGACGCACGGATCATGAATCACCGCTTGATTCACAAATATTAATGAACGGTTTGGGTTCATGGCTCACGAACCAAGGCTCACTGCTCAAGGCCAATCACATTGTGATAAATTCGTATCGTTTGATGACTCAACATACATATAACTCGCAGTTTTTGGTTTGCTAGCTCACGGCTTTTGGGTCACGATGCCCACGAGTGGCGCAAAGCAAAGTTTTAGATTTCCCTTGCGTTAGTTTGATGTTTACTTCGTTCATCTTCGGCGTATATGTGGGTAGAGCATTCTCCCAGCTATATCTAGAATGTATATTAGGAGTGCTTTCATGGTGTATCTCATTTTCTAAATGTGGTTGTTGTATCTATGTAATGAAAGGTGACGAAGGGCGCACAATGACCTAAGTAGTCGGAGCGCCCTAAAGCCCCAATTAACAAACAAGAAAGGTGACGAAGTTCTGATAGTGTTATATTGACCGTATTACATAACCATCAAAGTAGTTGGGATATACCCCTTTGATGGTTGATAGGCAACATAATTAATGCTCCTACCCGGCGAAGCTGCAGTTGCCTGGGAACTACCACACTGAGATGTTCTATATAGACCTGCGGTGTAACCTGCACCATTCATAGCCATTATCGTGTGGCGTAGCGTCCATATATGGCTCATTGGCCTCACCTGCTGCGACGGGTGACCTGTGGCTGCAATGTGGCGTGTGCGTGTGTTCTCGGTGATTGGGCAAGGTTTGGGAGATGGTGCGGTGGTATCCTTTACGGTCCCCGGTGGGGTACAGTCCCTCTGAAGTCTTGTATGGAGTGTCTGGCTCGTCAGGTGACGTCTTATCGGACGAGGTAGCGCCGAGTCCATCCGTCGAGAAGCGTCTCGAGTGAGGCGCATACCGGCGTGCCTGCCATCGATAACTCATTTTGCCTAGTCTGAGGTGCCTGATCCGAAGACCTTGATTGTATGTGTGACCAGTCCAGCCTCGATCGCATGTTCAATCGCAACACGAGTCGAGGAATAACCTCATTGCAATCACATTCAATCCGAATCTCGATTGCTATCTCAGCCACAAACACACTTTTGCGGCTAAAGTGTGTTTGTGTGTGAAACTTGTGAAGTGTGTTAAAATAGCTTTCCAAATTGCTATATCACACAAACAGTTTCATCCCAACCAATCCTTTAAGGACTGGCTCGTACACTCACCCCGGACTGTGCCGTAAAGGTCATTCTCCCACAGTTTTCTGTTGTACGATCATCCTATCGACAATAGCGCTGAATCGGTCCTGCCCAACCCCCCCCCCCGCCCGCCCTGGTGACCCGGGGGACGGTCAGTAGGTCGGTCTCTTTGTCCAGCCCCCCCCCCCTCCTTTGTCTCGTTAGCCCTGGCCTAGTTATCGATGTAGTTCTGCCGATCGTTTTGTGACAGATTCGGTGTTTCGCCTTCCGTTTTTACGGGCGACCTCAGCGGTTCCCGTCTGATTTGCTCTTGTGCGATGTTAGTTTGCTCAGGGTGTTTTGTACTACCTGTATGAGTGTTTTCTCTGCGACTGTCGTCTATTTGATTAGTCCTGTGATGATTTATCAGTGCCTGACCTATTGGATATTGATATTGAACCTCTGTATTTTGACCAGCTCTCATATCTACCCCTAATTAGCCCTGCTCCCCCCTCCCCTTCACACACACACACAATTACGCTCTCACCTACTGAGTAGACCTGTATGCTGACCTGTCCTCTCGTCTCTGCCCTCAGATCCTGTCGCAGACGAAGCTGCTGCTGGAGCTGGTGTGTCCGGCGCTGGGGGTGCCCACGCCGCCCGACCTGGAGCGCCAGCTGCGCGTCACCTTCGCACAGTTCTCACAGAGTAGCCGCGCCACTCAGGTGAGAGAGGGAGTGAGAGAGAGAGAGGGGGAAGAGAGAGGGAGGAGAGAACGTCGAACGGTCGATAGAAGCTGGACGCCTAGGGCGTTATAAACTATAACGCGTGAGAGGTTACTAGGTTCAGCTGATTGATACTGGTTATAGCTGAATTCTCCTGAGTCGTACTTGCGCTGATGGTCATTGGTCAGCATGTGTGGGTACACCAGTCATCATGATCTGTACTTATGTGCGCCGGGTCGGCATGGCTGCCATGACGCCCAAATGACGCGCCGTAACACAAGCGTCTGTTGTCAGTCACTACGCCTATCTATTTTAATAGCTATTTTATGATTATAATTTTTAATTTGAATGACTTTATCATGCTGTTTTGGAGGCACTTTGCGTCTTTACCTGGTGTTTTGATGGAATGGAATTTGAATTTCAGACTCCCTGTTGTCTGCTGTCAACGTGCATGTCGAAATGTTTAATCTGTCTCTTGCCATACCACACGTCATCAGCCTCTCCCCCCGCCCCCCTCCACGACACACACACACATGCTTTCCACACACCTTGCCCCAGCACGTGCTTATCTAACATCCATTTGCCCCTCTGAGCTGACCTGACACGTTACCTGACCTGACCTGACCTGACCTGACCTCTGCGCGCCAGGCCTCTCCGAGCAGCGGTGACGGCGCCGCCGCGTCGGCCGACGACGGTTTCGACGAGGACGACGATGACGACGATGAGGAGGAGGAAGATGACGATGATGACGACCTGGAGCCGGACGAGGACATGGACGAGATGCACATTGAGATGGAGGAGCCCACTGCCAGCGAGAAGGATCCGGTAAGACGATAGGGAGGGGAGTAGGGGGGTGTGAGTTGTGCCGGGATGGAGTGGGGGCGGGAGGTGGGACGGAGGTGGGATAGGGCGGGGTGGATTTGGGGCGAGTGAGGGTGAGAGTTGGGACGGCCGGAATTGGGGCGGGGAGTCTGAAGTCGGGGCGAGCTAGAATGGAGTCGAGGCGGGGCGGGGCTGGGAGTTGTTGCGAGCGGGGGTGGCAGTTGGTTTCGTTATAGGACGCTTCGCTGTCCGCCGGGTGTCATATAACAAGTGCGTTGCATCAACCTCACACTACAAAACCTAGGTAGTTGTTATTAGCTGCATCATGTGCTCGCTGGTTGCAACACAAGGCTACCTGTATGTCCTCGACAAATCTAAAAATACCCGTCGGTACTTCTGGGGCTATTCTGATTGCGCTCATTGTCTGGTTTTATTCTTGGTGCCAATAGAGGTTGCAATAAATGATACAGCCGATATTTTGACCCTGATTGAAAGAATAGATGCGTTTGGCTGCGTATTTTGTACGGCTGTCTCCAGGAATATTCACCGGCTCTTGGTAAAGCTGGCTGGCTCTTGGTATCATGGCTGCCGCAATTACCGACAATGCTCGATTACATATCCGCTTTCGCTAGTCGTGATGCCACGGAACTGATGGTCTAGGATGTTTTTCTGTTTTTTTTTTTGTAAGCTTCTGTACTCCATGACACCAATGAAAGGCATCTGTGGATCTGCTTGTCTTGATCGCTGTCTCCCTCTCAGGACAAACCAGCCTCGCCTCACCCCACCCACACCCTCTAACTCGGTCCCTCACGTTTCCCAGGACAAGGAGCTGTGTCCCTCCCAGCCTCTAACCCTCCCCGTGTCCCCAGGACAAGGAACTGTGTCCCACCCAACCCACACCCTCTAACCCTCCCCCCGTCTATCCCCAGGACAAATCATCTGTGTCCCACCCACACCCTCTAACCCCCCCCGTCTATCTCCAGGACAAGGAGCTGTGTCTCACCCCCCCCCCCTATAACCCCCCGTGTCCCCAGGACAAGGAGCTGTGTCCCGCCCCCTGTAACCCTCCCCCTCCCCCGTGTCCCCCAGGACAAGGAGCTGTGTCCCTCCCACACCCTCTAACTCCCTCCCGTGTCCCCAGGACAAGGAGCTGTGTCCCACCCCCTCTAACCCCTCCCCCCTGTGTCCCCAGGACAAGGAGCTGTGTCCCGCCCACACCCCTCTAACCCCCCGCCGTGTCCCCAGGACAAGGAGCTGTATCCCACCCACACCCTCTAACCCCCCCCCCCCCCCGCCGTGTCCTCAGGACAAGGAGCTGTGTCCCTCCCTGCCTCTAACCCCCCCCCCGTGTCCCCCAGGACAAGGAGCTGTGTCCCACCCCCTCTAACCCCCCCTCGCCGTGTCCCTCAGGACAAGGAGCTGTGTCCCACCCCCTCTAACCCTTCCTCCTCCCGTCTATCCCCAGGACAAATCAGTTGTGTCCCACACCCTCTAACCCTCCCTCCCTCCCGCTGTGTCCCCAGGACAAGGAGCTGTGTCCCACCCCCCTAACCTCCCCCTGTGTCCCCAGGACAAGGAGCTGTGTCCCTCCCCCCTCTAACCCCCCCCCCCCCCGTGTCCCCAGGACAAGGAGCTGTGTCCGGAGCACCAGATGGCCCTGGAGCGTCTCCGGCAGCACCACTCGCGCGAGCTGACGCGCGGCCCGGCCACGGCCGGCAGTGTGCAGGCCACCGACCGGCTCATGAAGGAGCTCCGAGACATCTACCGATCCGAGAGCGTCAAAAGCGGTGGGTAGAGAGGGAGGGAGGAGGGGAGGGAGGGAGAGGGGTGGTAGAGTGGGGATGAGGCTGGTTAGGGTTGACCTTTGGGTGTGAAGAGAGCTTCATGTGTGCTGTTGGAGATGGGATGGGTAGCTTGGGGAGCTCTCTCTCTCTCTCTCTCTCTCTCTCTCTCTCTCTCTCTCTCTCTCTCTCTCTCTCTCTCTCTCTCTCTCTCTCTCTCTCTCTCTCTCTCTCTCTCTCTCTCTCTCTCTCTCTCTCTCTCCTTTCACTCGCTGTTTCTCCATCCTCACTTTCCTTATCGTTTCGTTCTCTTTCGCTTCTCTTGCCCCATTCTTTGCTTACCTCTTTTATCACATCTCTAGTTCTTAGCGTTTCTGCCGTAATCTGTTTTTCTTCTCTTCGTTTCTTATCTTCATATTTCATCTGTTGACTTGGTGGTAAATTACTTGCTGGGGAAAATAGGAAGATTGATCTTAATATTTTGTTTTACCGATGTTCATGTTTGAAGTTTTTGCAATCCAATTGGACTGCTCCTTTTAATGCCCTAGCCATATTTATACCATGTAATTAGTTGAGCTGTTAGTTTGGCAGATAGTCACTGTCATCACGGGCTAGCCGGCGGCGGTGGACCCGCCAGTGTCGCCGTCACGGCTGTAGCACCGGCCACTGACGGCCTCAGTAATCTCCTACCGGTCTGGCTGGTGTCAGCACTGCCTGTGTGCTGTACATCGGTGTAGTACTGCTCACGGTGCTTTACCGGGTAACCGGGTAGCCTTTAGGATGTACCTAAACAAAGTGATTGAGTTGGTGGGCAATCTCAGGGGATTCTGAGTGACATGAGGAGCGAGGGTTGTTTTTTTTGTGACTGTCCCGTGGTGTCATGGCATTGATTATTTGTCTATCTGTGTACTCAATTTATCTAAAGAGACAAGCAGCACCACAATCACTGCTTTCATAGGCACGCAATTTCCAGCCAACCCCATCAGCCCCTCACTGACTTCATTTACCGTCCCCGGCAGGTTCTTTCAAGGTGGACCTTCAGAACGACAGTCTCTACGACTGGAACGTCAAGATTTATAAGGTGGACCCCGACTCGCACCTCTACAGCGACTTGCGCCAGCTGAAAGACAAAGAGGGCATTGACCACATTCTGCTCAACCTGGTGTTTGAGGTGAGCACCGCCCCGTTGTCATGACAACCGGATTGTTGTGCAGAGTTTGGACACGGTGGTGGGGACATTTTTGGTCGCGTCGGATGCCTGGAAGTTGGGGATATCTATTGCTTGTCGTTTCCATTCACTGCTGCCATTCAGTGTTGGGAGTTGGTAGATGTTGATTGTTGTTGGAGTTGGTTTCGAGTTTCATCGCTGAGATGTCTCATCCGACGTTGGCTACCATATTGTTAGTTGTTCAACCTTTCCCCTGCCACACCTAGTACATGTTGCTGCGGCCCCTTGGGGAGTAGGTAGTGCTAGAATGGATGATGCCTTGCCAACACTTGCGCCGTTTCCGTGACTTCCCCAATGCCTTTGCCCTCTTCTTTCAGATCGCCTTCACTACCAAACATTCCCAGCTTTGGTACTGTTCATTTTGCCGTTTCTCAAATACAGATAGGCAATCTCCCATCCCTAAAGCTTCCCTCTTTCCCATTACATCCCCGTATTTTCGTTTGCTCGGCTGCGACATATCAATCCCTCTATTCCTCCCATCTTAAGTATCCCGCCCCCTGACCCTTTCCCATCTCTTCTATGTCATCCTACAAGCCGGGACGCGATTCTTCTGTAATTCCTTTCTCAACGAAGAGCACTTCATGCCCTCAAATTTAACGTAAAAATCAAGGCATTTTGACTTGAAATGACCACTTACTTGCTGCTAAAACATGCCAAATGATTACAACGATGGTGTGAAATTCACAAAATGGGCAATTGCGATCTCAAAATCAAATAAATCTTAGCGAAACCTACCTCACGCGGCGTCCCGTTTCCGTTCGGACACCGAAATGGCGGGTGTTTACATTTACAATTCAGAGTTTTGCCGATAGAGGATGGCGGTGTTTCCCACATGGCGGTGCTACCCCCGCTTCCCCTACTGTTTACTGCTTAGCGCTTATTTCAAGTATTTGGGATTCCGCTGGGCGGGCGGTGCATTGCAGCCCATGCTTTGATAGCTATTGTCAAAAGTTGTATGACTTGCCGGCCATAAGCAATCGATCGGATTTTGTTGAAAAATACCTGTAACGTTAACAAAACACGGTCGTATGTTTGAGTCATTTTCACAAAAGTTAATTGACTTTTCGATAATATTTTGGGTGGATATTGGTCAGAAAAGAATGCTCTTTCCGAATATATAGTTTTCATAGCGATTGGTCAGCGTTTTAAATACGTTTTGATGTTGTAAAGGACGTCGCGCTCCGCGCGAGTCAAATTTTCAAATTAATTTTTCATTATTAAGGAAATGGTACGGATCATCAGTTTTTATTTGCTTTCCTATCATTACACGTACAGTTGTCTGTAAAATAATACAACACCGATTTCATTCCGTCAAACCGTTTTCCAGTGCCATCCATTTTCCCGTTACAATGCACGAAATCGGTCATTTTTTGACAACCGGGGGTGCTGTCTTGCACGTGGCGCGTGCTATACTATGAAACCATGTAAATACGCTAGTTCCATCTCTCCTCTATCCAGTGGTGAAAACCGCTTCTCGCTGCGCCCACCCGTTGCCGACTTATACAGCCGGGAAGCAGGCGCCGCAGGCCGGTTTTCGTCCGATGTTCGTTTTGACCGTTTCCCGTGTTAACCCTATGGCGCACGCGAGCGCGTGCTGACGGCGCACCTCTGGCCCGATCACCCCCAAATTTTAATACAAAGGCCGCCCACGCCCACAGATTTGGCATGCCAAATTTCACGTCGCTACGCGGCGCCTTTCAGGCGCAATAAGACACATAAGGCATGACACACGTACGGACATGTTATAAATCATAATATAGATCCCTTCTGCTCGTCCCACCCACCTCCGAGCATTCCCACGCCATCTAACTCCTTCTGACTGCACCCTCCGTTCTAACCCTCGCTAGAACAAACCATTTCTGAGTTCTGACAGTTTCTCCACCACACCCCCAGGACAACTATCCGTTCGAGCCGCCGTTCGTGCGCGTGGTCTACCCAGTGATGCAGAACGGTTACGTGCTGCTGGGCGGCGCGCTGTGCATGGAGCTGCTCACCAAGCAGGGCTGGACGTCTGCCTACACGGTGGAGGCCATCATCATGCAGATTACGGCCACACTGGTCAAGGGCAAGGCGCGCATCAACCAGGGCGCCTACCGGGTGAGTATGGAGTGTCCCGCATCAACCAGGGTGGGTACTGAGTGCCCCGCATCAACCAGGTGAGTACTGAGTGCCCCACATCAACCAGGGTGTGTACTGAGTGAGTACTGAGTGCCCCGCATCAACCAGGGTGTGTACTGAGTGTCCCCGCATCAACCAGGGCGCCTACCAGGTGAGCACCGAGTGCCCGCATCAACCAGGGCGCTTACCGGGTGAGTACTGAGTGCCCGCATCAACCAGGGTGAGTACTGAGTGCCTTGTATCAACCAGGGTGAGTACTGAGTGTCCCGCATCAACCAGGGCGCCTACCGGGTGAGTACTGAGTGCCTTGTATCAACCAGGGTGAGTACTGAGTGTCCCGCATCAACCAGGGCGCCTACCGGGTGAGTACTGAGTGCCTTGTATCAACCAGGGTGAGTACTGAGTGTCCCGCATCAACCAGGGCGCCTACCGGGTGAGTACTGAGTGCCTTGTATCAACCAGGGTGAGTACTGAGTGCCCGCATCAACCAGGGAGCCTACCAGGTGAGCAAGTAGGTTGGGAAAGAGCGAATGGAGGGATGGATGGGATAGATGGTAGGGACTAGGGTTATAGTGGTTGGTAGAGACTAGAGTAGAGTACGGTGGGGAGTAGAATAGAGTAGAATAAAGTAGAATAAAGCAGAATAAAGTAGAGTAGAGTAGAGTATAGTCAGAGTAGAGTAGAGTAGATAGGGATGGGCGTTTATATGGAAATGGAGTGAAAGAGGATGCCTTACAAACTCAGCTGCCATACAAAAGAACAATTCACAAGCTTTGGTGATTGGAGAGCGCAAGTGTCGGTGGGCTTTCATTTTTCATTGTGAACCGTGATCCGTGTAACCGGACAAATAGCTGTCACACAAAATAACAGGTCATACGTCACGAGCCAGGCTGATTGGAGAGTTTAAATAACGGTGTGCGTTTAAATGTGAACTCTGATACGAGTAATCAGGCGCTTTGATATTGATTAGGCTTGCAGGAATGATAGTGTACCAGTCACAGTCGCATCGGTTAGTCTGGTTTGCCAGAAATAAATGCTCTGGTGGATAAGTTTGTGATGTGGAAAAGGATCATTCAAAAGTTTATGTTACTTATAAATTATAATGCTGGGTTCTGGTCACTGGTGGCATAAATTGTAACGAATATCCGGTCCAATGATGTTATCCGACCAGGCCAGAAAGGAATCTGGTGAAGCGATAGCCTATTATGAAATAAACAATCCATGTTGCTCGGTTCGCAGCACATTCATTGATGCCTGCCGGCGCTGAGACCGTTCATCCTGACGAGCTACCCACATCGCCGTTCAAGAAATGCAATTTTCCCGAACGTCAGAAGTCGCTCACAAATGATTTATTATGTTTCTTGCCTATCGCGTTGCTCTGTGTTGCGTGTGATTCGCGCTGATGACCTTACCCATTAGGTATGTTGCTGTTGGTTCCATTGCAAAGCTGTTACCACATGATTGCGCTCTACAGTCTAACTGCACTCACTAGCGTGTTGATGACCAGTGCTGTGCGGGCGCCCCATAGACCATAACCCTTCTTTACCGCTTATTCACATCAGCTGACGATACTCTGGTCACATCAGAAAAGGTGTGTAGAGAGTATCCCAACCTCCCCACTCTGCAGAACAACACAGGACAAGTAACGCTTGGTTTCCTCAGCGCTGTTCCGTGCAACGAGCTGCACCTTTCTGTACTATCTGTAGGCCTGACCTTTGCTCCCAAATACCTCTAGGGTAGATAATGCTGCCCTTTCCGAGGCGTCTTTCGCCCCGTCTCTGCCACTGTCTGACACTCAACTGTTGTTCACAGGGCCAATACAGCCTATCGCGAGCCAAGCAGTCTTTCAAGTCGCTGGTGCAGATCCATGAGAAGAACGGTGAGTGATCTGGCGCGGGTCTGTTCGCGGGAAATAAGGTTGCATTATTTTGGGAAGGGTCGAACAGATTCTGTGAATTTTCCCAGGCATGTTTTCTTAATTCGATCATATGCTTATGTGATGCTTATCTAAGCCAATACTGCTCTATATCTGACGTAACACTATTTGCCGTGAGGATGCATGCCGTTTTAACTTTATTTTACCCACCACTTTCGTAGTTCCATGTCTATTTACATGTAACGTAAACATGCTAAACGTTGTTTGTGATATAAACCTACTGTAGCGCCGCTCTGGTAGATTTCCGTTGATATCAGCTCTGTCTGCTATCACTCGAAAGTATCGACATATTTAGGGCGTAGCAATGTGCAATTACGCTGTGTGTGAAGAAACCCTTCCCACTATTTGTTTTATTGCGCCGTCTATACTCTGTTCCGTTTCAAGTTTGCAGACGAAGTGCCCTGTGAAAGCAGTGCGTGATTTCTGTATATACAGCTCTTACATTTTAACACGCAAATTCTTGAGCGGAGGAGCGATCTGCCGAAGAAACTCCGACTGCAAGCTTGATATGGAACAGACTATAGCCACCTGCACTGCGCAGTCTATGCTCCAAGTTTGACCTCCCCCTGTCCATGTGTTGTCCCTCAGTCGGCCCGAGACCAGCACCTCTGACCGCTGTCTCTGTGTTCCCCAGGCTGGCTCACGCCGCCCCAGGCGGACTGTTAACGGCCCGGGACCAGCACCTCTGACCCCTCCCTCTGTGTTCCCCAGGCTGGTTCACGCCGCCCCAGGCGGACGGTTAGCGGGCCGGGGGCCGACAGCCGGGGTGCCGCCGCCCGCCGCCGAGCGGTCCGCCGGAGACCGGCACAACCTCGGCGGCCGCGCGATCTCCACGAGGGGCCGGCCGCACGACACGCCCGCCACGTGGCGCCGCCGCACGTGGGACGACCACGTGGCGCACGAGACACGCACCTATCCGCACCCACACACAGGTAACACAGACACACGGGGGTAGACACAGGGAGTTGACGGTCTAATTGGGGTAAGACGGGCTGATTGGGGTAGCATGGTTACAGTGATTGATATACAGACCTTTAGAAGGGGTCCCCTGTGGCTTACGAGACGGATAATCACGACTTGGATACACTATTTAGCGGCGACACAGAAAAACGGCAGACAGGTAAAGAAACAGACAGACACGCATACACCATATCTGCACAGGATTTTACTGTGAAAAGCACCACTGCTGGACAGTGCCATCACAGACTACACGCCACACGAAACACACATTACACACACCTCGCATTTCTTGCGAACGTTCACCGAACACAGCACTCGGAGAACACACTGAGAACACAGAGAACACACTGAGAACACTCGGCGGAGCGGCGTGGTGGCTGGTGTGTCGCGCGGTCTATTCAGATGAGAAGGAAGCTGCGGGACAGAGCACTGGAGAGACGGGGAGAGAGGGACGGAGAGAGATGTCTGAAAACTGTGTAGATAGCTAGCTGAGGGGCGGCGACGCTTCACAAGCCCGTCGCCCAATTGTAAATACGACGAAGAGCCGTTTTGTACGTTAAGATACCTCCTAGGTTCGCACCCGCTCGCCTGTATGTGAGCGCGTGTCGCTTGTGTGAGAGAGGGTGAGAGAGCCAGAGTGAGAAAGTGTCAGCGCTCTAAATGGCAGTGTTTGTACGTGGCCGGCAGGGCCGGGTCGGGTCGGTGGTGAGAACGGGCGGTTCGGCGTTGGAGAGGTGGGAAAATGAGCCAGGTGGGGCCAAAGTTGTGGATAGGGTGGAGGAGAATGGGGTAGTGAGGATTCGTCTGGAGATGATTTGGCATTGACTTGTCGCCTGAGAATAGCTATGACACCAGCACTGCGTTGCGGGTTCGTCACTGCGAAACTTAGCAAAAGCCGTGCGTCGCTCTGGCGCCACCAGTCGATCGATGTAGACCCCGCTGAACGTTAGACATCTGTTCAGCCTACCCGTGACCGAGCATCCACCCAGCCACGGCCCATCTCGACCCGGTCCGGCCCGGCGCGGCGCGTTCTGATTCCATGGGTATTCTCTCTGTCTCGTGGGCCGTCTCCGTCTCGGTTTTGTACGTGTAGCGGCGGGCAGAGTGGCGCCGGCGGTCGGACCGAGTCCCCACACCGGGCCGGTTCGACGCGCCGCCGACTGGCCCAAACATAGCCGACTAGCTGTGCACGTGTGGCGTGGGAGCGAGCCTGTCGTCCGTGTAGAGAAGCCCGTTCGTGTGAGGTGTGGTTCGCCCGTGCGCGCGTGTGGATGTCACAGTGTACAACCATTTCTCTCGAGTTTGTCCTCTATCCTGTGTGCAGTCGCCGCGTGGTGACTCACTCGTCTGTGTGTGTCTCTCTTCTGTACAGAGGCTCTGTGCTAGCCGTGACCTTGCAGCGTCCTCTCACCACCGTAGCGAATAGGCGGAGTTATTTTTGATAAGGACTCTGTGTTGATTTGTGTGCCGCGCTCGGGTGTGCCCTCGAGGTGTGGTCACACTGCGCGACTCGGGCAGTCGGAGCCGACGCGTCGGGCGGCGCCGCCACCGACGCACCGGTCCAGATGGCCTTCTCTCTATTGTCATGCACCTTTTCATGCGCCTTTGCGTGTGTCGCGCGCATGCACTCGCCGCTGCTGTCGTCTGGGGAGCTGAGGCTGCTCTCCGTTTGGAGCCAGCTGCCGCTGAGCTCGGCCGGAGAACGGTGGTGTTCGCTGTGTGAGCGCGCGGACCGAGCTGCCGCCGGCGCCGGCCGGTGGCGCGTCTTTTCAATCAGACTGTATCGTAGCCAGGCGCTGAAATACACGGGGCGTGACTGTACCGAGGGCTGTGTGACTGAGGGAACTACTAAGTACTAACGGTACTGTACTGTAACTGTACGGAGGGAACTACGGAGGGCCGTTTGACGGAGTGAACGGCATTTGGTAGTGGAGGGTGCGACTGCGAACGTTAAGATTCGATACGACTGACAGGGTTTTTAAAACATGTATTGGCAACGAGCGTTGTGCTGTACAGACCAGCGATAACACTTAGTGACACCGTCAGAATCAACAACAAAATAAAAAGCTGTCCCCTTTCTCAAAACTGACTTCAAAACCATTAGTGTTACGCGGGTCAATCAATCGTGAGTGCGCGTCCCATTATGTTCGTTTCAGCTGCGTCACTGCAAAACCCACAACACAACTGGCCATCGTCAATCGTTCAGCGGTTTAACTCGGGCGTGCGATGTGTAAAATTCCTGTCACCGCCTAACTCAGCGGGATCTCACGGGCTTTCACCTGCCGCACTTTGAGCATATCCTGAAACAGCTAATCCATGCAGATCACTGGCCCGAACAAACTAACGCGCTCTAGGCGGCTCAAACATACGCTGCACAGGGACTACAGTCATCCACAGTAAGCTTATTGTGTATCGCAGATAAATTCTAATAACAATGACATTCACTCACCTCCCCCTGTCCAACGTTTACTGTATTTACCCTGAGCTCGAACACATCACCACTTAGTTAAATACGACACTACCATAGGCGGCGGAACGGGGAGGGCACCGGGGCACCGTGCCCCCCTTTGATTCTGGCATTTTAACATTAGCCTTATGGGCGTTGCATGGAAAGAATGGGACCAAAAGTCGGCAGTGCCCCCCCCCCCCCTTGAAGGTGTTCCGCCGCTATTGGACACTACGAGTTCAGCCTCACGCCGACACCGGCTTCCATCCCCCATACTCGACGCTGCTGGGCGGCAGTCGGAAACCCACACCAGGCGTCATCCTGCTGGCAGACTGCTGCGGGTCCACCGCGGCGTCATAAATGACGTCATCTGTGCTCCGGCTGACGTCAGACATCACTGTGCCTGGGTAGAGTACGGATGTACCCACACTGACGCTGGTGTGCGGACCGGAGTGGGACGCCCGGCGGTGGTGCGCGAAGTGAGACGCGGCGGGTTTCTGTTTCCTGCGCGCGGCCGGCGCCCGGCGGCGGAGCGGGGTCTTCCTCGCGCGGCTCGCAGCTCGGTCGGACCGCTCGGAAAACGGCTCGAAGAAGAAATCCGACTGGGCGGAGGGTCCCTCCCAGTGTCCGGCCGGCGCCAGGGACGGCTCCGCTGAGGGGTACACCCAGGTGGCGCCCGACTGCCTCCGGCGGGTCGCCAGCAGGCTCCAGGGCCGCTGCGCAGGCCGCCTGCCTTGCCGGTTCACCGCCAGGGGCGCTGGTGTCGCGCTGGCTGTGTCGGAACGACTCCGCTGCACAGGGAGCTGATCTGACCGCTGAGCCACGAGCTGAGCCGAGGGCTGAGCCACGCCGAGCTGAGCCGAGCCGTGAGCCAGCGGCAGCAGCAGCGGGCCAGACTCGGCCGCCGAGACGCGCTTCAGGATGATGGTGTTGGGCAGCTGAGCGCTCTCAGTGCCATCTGCCGGCAGCGGCCGGATGTACCACCGCTGTACGGTCGGCGAGCGAAACATCCTTCTGCGCAGCACCGGCGAACTGCTGAAAAAAGAAAAACAAGCCAGTGACGATGTTTGAACACGGGGGTGGATATCGACGACATATTCTGTCAACTGGACTATGACTTAACGATTAAAAGGTTGTGGTTATCAGTTATGTAGGTAAAATGTTAGCCAAGCCACCGAAGTCGTCTCACGAGTTTAAACCAAAATAAAAGGACTGGAGTGTTTATTGTAAAGGGCTGACTTTCCAAAGTTGGTCATCCATCCTCGGGACAAATCCATGCGCATCCCCTCACGCAGCACGCTCCCTGTCCGGGCTGTCCAGGGCTTGGTTGGTTGGTTTGGGCTAAGCACCATATCCGGTGGACCAAGGTGCTAACCGGAACTCTCACGCTGTTCCAGCTGCCCAGGGCTGACTGTTACCCCAACTGACGGCGAGGTCGGGCTCACATTGCCACCGTTGCCACCAGTAAATGGTAAACTCTCTCCGCGGTGACCGCTCGGGAGGCGGGCGGACTGCCCAATGGGGCAATCCGGTCCCACCGGGACGGTCTCCGCTGCTCACCGTCGGCGTCTCGCACAGCCCAATGTCCATGACCTCTATGCCCTATCCTATCACCCCGCAGCCCTGCAATCGTCTCTTCAGGTCAGAAGAACTTGCTTCCAATAAAACAAAAACCAGTGCTTGTTTCGCATCACTGTACCCATTGAATTCACGCCAGAAACTGGTTTCGTAGCGTGAGTGTGCCAAATGCCAACTACCTTCTGTTCGGCTACCCGTCTCTGACGGCGCATGTTATATAGGGACAGCTAGAACGCCTTATGACTTCTCTCATCGTTTCCATATCTTTACCAATCCATAGGCATATATGCATTCGTCGCATGTTGGCCATCACCTTAACTGGAAGACCACAATTGATGTGGATTGTGGATGTTGTTCTATACCTAGAAGGTATCCCCTGATGTAAGAAAGACGGATCCAAAGAGGAGCAAAGGTAAGACCTCGTTCTTTTTCGGTGGCATCCAGAGCTAGCCTGCCATTTATGGACCATCACAAAGAAGTCATTTTGCGACGTCATGAATGACGTCATAAGTGAAACGGCTGACGTCAGAGTCATCACCGCAGCTAGCTATATACTTATATAGCATGGAGGCTTATCTAAGGCACATTGACATTTGTGTGAACTGTGACTTGTGAGGCCGTGTGTCGTGAGAGCGAATACCATTGCGAGTGGTTCTTGACGGCGCTGGCAGAATCGGCTAATTTCTCTTTCGTATCGGAAGACACAACTCGAGACCCGAGATAAGAAAAACGACCTTCATGATACGTCGTCATTCCAAGAGAGAACGTGAACTCAATGCAAGGTTTATTTCATGTGTTCCGAACAGGTTTATTTCATGTGTTCCGAACCGCACTTGGCTTGCGAGACAAACAGTGGCAAAACAAAAGATGCATTTTAGTCACAAGCTACAAAGCAATGCTACGCCAAGGAATGTCCAGCTGACACTATTTCTACTAAAAATGAAAACAAAATAAGGGTGCGTGTTTGATACATAGAGCATCATCAGAATCGAGTAGGCATGAGGCAGTGTACGTGATTATTTCTTGTCGCAGATAGTGGCGAAGTCTCCCTGGCAGAGGGCGTAGTTGATGACGTGGTGGATGACATTCTCCTCCAGACTGCCACGCAGAAGGTGGGCGCCCGGGCCGCGGGCAAAGATACCCACATCCTCTCCTCCGTGGGTCTCCTTGGGCAGGTAGATGCCGGCGATCTGCTTGTAGTGCGGGTCGCGCCACTCGGCCGTCTCGCTCATGTCGGTCAGACGAGCGCGCTTGGCCTCGAACTCAGCCCAGTCCTCGGTGCCTCCCGGACCGTTGGCGTACTGCATGATGGGGTAGGGCAGCTTGGGCGGCGGGCCTCCCTTCTGCATGCCGCCAGCCAGGAAGGAGGACGGGCCGAACATGTCCAGGCCGCGCTCCGGGTAGCCGTTGATACCGAAGGTGTGCGAGTGGTCCGAGGAGACCACGATCAGCGTCTCCGACTCGTCAGTGTTGTCCATGACGTGCTGGACGACCTCCTCCAGCTCGATGGTCTCGTCAATGGCCGTGTACGCGTTACCGTAGTGGTGTCCGTGGTCGATCTTGGCGCCCTCCACGAACAGCACGAAGCCGTTCGGTCCGCGCTTCAGGATCTCCAGAGCCTTCTTCACCATCTCGGTCAGGTTGACGTCGTCGGGGGTCTGGAAGGCGCGGTACTGCATGTGGCTGCGGCTGAACAGACCCAGCACGTAGTCGGCAGAGGTGGCGTCGAAGTTGTTCAGCTCATCCTTGGTGGTGAGGTAGGCGTAGCTGCGTCCCAGGGAGGCCTGCTTGTCCTTCCACTCCTGGATCAGGTCACGACCGTCCAGACGGGAGCCACCCTCGACCTCCTTCGGCGTGAACTTGCCCCAGCCGCCACCGAAGGCGACGTTGATGTCGATACCCTCACGCTCGACGAACTGGGTAGACAGATCCTTCATGGCGTTCTTGCACGAGTCCTTGACGGGTCCGGTCATCCACTCCATGGCGACGAAGTCGGCGTCCGACTCCCAGGTACGGTAGGCAGTGTGGCCAAAGGTGGCAGCTGGAGAGGCGTGCGTGATACGGGCGGTGGACACCAGACCGACCCACTTACCGGCCTCCACTCCGTAGCGGAGAATCGACTTGGGCGAGGAGGCCTCGTTGACGGCATCGCAGTTCCAGATGAGGACGGAGCAGTCGACACCGACCGTGAGGAAGTTACCCTTGGCGCCGGTCAGGTAGGCGGTGGCCGTGGAGGCGGAGTCGGCCGTCCAGCGGTCGCAGTTGTACGTCTTGGACAGTCCCAGGTAGGGGAAGGTCTCCCAGGAGAGCATGGTATGCTCGGGCACATCAGCGCCGCTAAGGAGACCCTTGCGCTTCCTGGCGGCGGCCAGCGTAGCGATAGACATACCGTCTCCGATGAAGAGCACGGCGTTCTTGGCCTGGTGATCGTACACGGGATCGGCCAGCTTGGTCCTCAGGATGTCCTGGGCGATCTCCTTCCAGAACACCGAGTCCAGCACCTTACCGGAGCGGGAGAGGGAGGCGCCGTCGCCGAGGCCCATCTTCTGCTGCACCTCCTGGTAGGTGGGCGCGTTCATTTCGTGCATCTCCAGCTCGTCCTGGTCCTCGACCCGGGAGTCGAGGGGCACGGCCACGGCCACGGCCGCCACACAGGCGGCGACCACCAGCAGCTTCATCCTAGGGATCTGGTGGAAGGATTGATTGAGACAACAGACCTACTGTTGCAGGCTGCCTGTGACGGACTGACGGTTTGTGTCTGTTTTATACCCAAACTGTTCAGGTCCGCACACTTGCG